CGCTTTTATTTCATTTTATATTCCTATTTCCTATAAACCATAAAACACGACAGTTTGTTACCAAATAATCCATTCAGCAACGCCCAGTAAATACCATGTATCACATGCATTCATAACCCTACTGAACTGCCATAGAAATGCCTGTGTATTGAGCATAACTCTCATAAATCACCGGCCAAATCCCATAATCCGGATGGGTTGCCCGCGTCCCAACGTGGCTGCGATAAAGGAGGTCGGACTGATATACTATAAATGTGTATATTTATTTATTCCTTACAGGTTACCAGTCCTTACAACTTCACACGGACCGAGACACAGTGTGCGCCATCTTACGAATTCCGGTAGGCCAAGCGCTTGACCTTAAGTATCATGATACAAAATCTCTTCCCACCTGAATAATGCAGATAAATGGCAATCATTTGCTTAATAACAAAAAGCTACCAAGGGTTAGTTGCTACAATTCAAATGTCATGCTGCGTTTCAAGTATAAAATTTATCAGCAAAAACGCTAATTGATAACCGCTGATTTATAGTAAACCATTTGCCCTTAACAAATTTTTAACTTTTTCACCAGCTCACTTCTTTTAAAAAATTAATAATTACGTGTTTTTTCTTTCTTTGTTTTTTTTTTTTTTTATTTTTCCGTGGCTAGTGGAAGGTAAACTGGACAAGGTACACCGAGGTGTGATTTTCATTTATTAAACTTAAACTAGACAACAGATTGAAGTAGAGGCTGGCGTTACTAGTTTGTATTTAATTGATAAAGGCTTACAATTTTTCGTATATAAAGCTTGTAGTGGATAAGTGGATGAACCATAGAACACATTCAACGTTAACTATTGCAAAGTGCATTAATTAGCCAAGTAACACAATGATGTCTTATTTCGCCGCCACGGCTGTCGCTGAATGTTCATTGCGTGGCTCCGGCTGAAAGCGAATTGATAGTTGACTTGCCTTTAATACATTATATATACAGGTCAGTATGCTCTCGCAGACAAATCAATAAAACTACATAGTTGCAGTAAGTGAGTAATTTTTGGCGACAAACAAGGTGTCCCCCCCCCGCCTGTGTCTACCTTCAACCTTTACGTGATGAAAATTGATGGCAGCATCCAGTATACAACGTTTTCATGAGGTGATAGTTTCAAGCATGGCATACGTGTGATATATCTTTGATCTATTGATTTTTATATGTAAACGACGATTTCTACAATATTGCTCATCTATAGTTTTGTCGTTGCAATCTCAAAACTTGTTGATTTAATCACGAGCTGATTGTTTCGACAAACTACGTTCGACGCCCCCTGCTGAGTAAGCGAATGTCGAAGACTGGGAATTACATGAAGTAAATGTAGGATAGGCATACGAAGGACAACTGCTAGTGTTGGTGTATCGCTCCACGTTATTCTTCGCCATGTTATGTGGGTGACGACGTGCGAGGATTCGATATTGTTGCATACTCTACTTGCGGCGAATAGGTTGGAGGGAGAAATGAGGATGAAGCGTATATATCTTTACGCGTGTGTTTTTTTTATATATATAAAGATGTATAAGCGTAGGTCCAAACTGCACTGCAGCAGGTTATGGAGCCCCGTTCTCCCACATGCAGCTTGTGTGCTTGTTTTGTACATCTACCATGTTTGAGTAAGGACACGATGAGTACTGTTAAACGAATGTAAATATCGTGAACGATCGTTAGAGATATAGTGAAAAGTACATCGTAGAACAATTTGTAGGACCTGTATATTGTGTGCATGAGCAATCGATGCGATGAATTGTGCCCAATGGAGGGCGCTGTAAAAATAACTCGGCCGAAGCCGATATAAGCTGTTTGAATACTATTAGATTGAACCTTATGCTCTACTAAAGGTTTTCATGTTGTAAGAGATGTGTGCTGTTCAGGCGTCTTTGGAAGCCGCGCAACTATACGTTTGCGGTGCATTTAAACAGTAGTTAGTTAGCCCAACATTAACGCGCCGACATGAATGTCTACTGCTGTCTAGCCTATGAATATTTCTGCGTAAATATGGCCCTACACGTCAAAGCCCACGTGCCATTGATTTAAACAGCAAAAGATACTGTCTAGAGGTAACGGCCATATATACAGAGTATACACGCAAATTGTATAATTTGTGCTAAAATGTTTTTAAAAACTACTGCTAAATGTTTAAAAAAAATTCAGTCACATTAGGCTGTTGGACGGTTATACCATTAATCAAATAAAATCTGTTCACACAAAAACAACACAGTTGGTATAGGATGCTGTTTAAACCTGTAGATAAAATTTTGTATTAATCACCGAGTTAACAATTATTTATTTTGTTTATTGCCAGCACTCAGCCAGTCTGATGTATTCAGTCATGTCGAGTCCTACGTTTATCGTTATCTATCCCTCCCCTTCCTCATCTTACTCGCACACTTCCTTCTTTCCCCCCCTTTTCTTATTACTCCCCTGCCAATTACCCTTCCCGGCCATACCCTCTTCTCTATCTCTCTCAAAACGCTGCGCACAACGCACACACACACACGCCACACACCGCTCTTCGTTACACTGCCCCACACCAGTTCTGCGCTTAAACTGATGCTGATTAATCCTTCAACCAGCCCACTACTACTACCAATACCCAGAGGTGCCAACCACTACGATTTATCATTTATACATTACGAATTTTTTTTTTTAATTGTCATTTTTTGTCAATTTAATTGTCATTTTGACCCTCAGCCGTGAATCGCAGGAAATCTGCATCTTCAGCGAATCAAAGAAATTTTCTGGGAGGGGGCATGCCGACCCCCTAGCAAACTCGCCCGTCACTACGCCTGACCTCGAAACTACTAATTTGATGGCCAGAAACTACAGATTGCTTCAAATATGTGTTGGCATCTCTGAATAACCACCCCACCACTAATACATCCAGCATCCCACACACACGCACACACCCATACCACGCACACACACACACACACACACACACACACACACACACACACACACATACTCAAACACTCCGCCGGCGCTTGCGCGCACAACCCGGTCTAACAAACCATAGACAGCTATATGTACGTGTATATCTCCTATCCTGTACTCCTAATCTCCTCTCTCTCTCTCTCTCTCTCTCTCTCTCTCTCTCTCTCTCTCTCTCTCTCTCTCTCTCTCTCATCTCTCTCTCTCTCCTCTCTCTCTCTCTCTCTTCTCTCTCTCTCCTCTCTATACTATAAATAATATACATATCATATCTACTCTATCTACCTGCCTATCAAGAGCATATAATAGATGCTTCTTTCTAGCACTGTACGCTTATCTATTATCTATCTATCTATCCTATCTATCGTATCTATCGTGCTCTATCTGTGTTCAGTAGCCGTGTCTCGAGGGCCGGCCCTGACTCAGCTACTAGATACACCGTATGTGTAATATATATATATATATATACATATCTATATACTATATAATATCATATCTATCTACTCTACACTACCTATCGATCTATCTATCTATTCCGCTGTCTATTGTTTCAGTAGGTGTCGCAAGGGCCGGCCCCTGCCCCTCAGCTACTAGCGCCTACACGTGAATATATACTATATATTATATATATATATATATTCCATATCTATTAATCTACCAACCTACTCCGATCATCATTTATCTATCGTGTCTATTTGTTTCGGTAGCGCTGTCGACGGGCGCGCCCTGCCTGCTACTAGCCTACCATGTCGATATATATATATATACTATATATATATATATTCCCCAATATTCATATCTATCTATCTACCTACCTATCGATCTATCTATCTATCGTGTCTATTGTTTCAGTAGCGTGTCGAGGGCCGGCCCTGCTCAGCTACTAGCTACACTGTGATATTATATATATAATATATATTATAATATATATAAATTATTCTATATAATTTATTTATAATCTATCTATCTACCTACCTATTCCGGTCTATCTATCTATCGTTCTATTGTTTTCAGTAGCCGTGTCGAGAGGCGGCCTGCCCTCAGCTACTTAGCTACACGGAATACTATATATATATATTATATATAATATTATATACTAATATATATAATATGTATATCTAATCTTCTACCTACCTATCGATTTATCTATCTATCGTGTTATGTATCTGCAGTAGCGTGTCGAGGCCGTCGGCGCTGCCTCAGCTACATAGCTACACCGGAATAGTATATATATATATATATACATATATTATATATATATATATATATATGTATATCTATCTATCTACCTACCCTATCGATCTATCTATCTATCGTGTCTATTGTTTGAGTAGCTGTGTCGCAGGGCCGCCCTGCTCAGCTACTAGTTTACACTTGTGCGCGCTGCTGCTGCTGCTGCCTGCTGCTGCTGCGGGTGCGCGAGCAACATACACACACTGCAGCTGCCGGGCAGAAAGCGATGCGCGAAACGATCCATTCGCCATCTAATTAG